CCTCTGCTTGCATCCCCCACCTTCCTCCTGTACACCTCTGATTCCATCCCCCACCTTCCTCCTGTACACCTCTGCTTCCATCTCCCACCTTCCTCCAGCACACCTCTGCTTGTATCCCTCACCTTCCTCCAGCACACCTCTGCTTCCATCTCCCACCTTTCTATAGCACACCTCTGCTTGTATCCCCCACCTTTCTTCCGTACACCTCTGCTTCCATCCCCCACCTTCCTCCCATATACTTCTTCCATCCCCCACCTTCCTCCTGTACACCTCTGCTTCCACCCCCCACCTTCTTCCAGCACACCTCTGCTTCCATGACCCCGCCCTTCCTCCAGCACACCTCTGCTTTCATCCCCCACCTTCCTCCCATATACTTCTGCTTCCATCCCCCACCTTCCTCCTGTACACCTCTGCTTCCATCCCCCACCTTCTTCCAGCACACCTCTGCTTCCATGACCCCCCCTTCCTCCAGCACACCTATTTCTCCAATTTACCCCTTCCCAACACACCTCTGCCATTACCATTCTGTTGGTCTCACAGTCTACAGCACTTAAGTCTCACACATGCACCACCACCAGCAGAAGAAAGTGGGATCAGCCTGATCATTTCCAAGGCCAGCAGCACTTCCTCCCTATGTCTGGCCCAATCAAATTACAAGCCTTGCAAGCCGCCTTCAGTCCCCAAAGAGTGCACCTGAATAGCAGCTGCTGGTGGAGGAGGCAGGGTTAGGGATCTGTCCCAGGCAATTAAAGTTCTCTGTATCTTGTGTGCCCACCCGGCAGCACACCTGAGCTCATCACTGTCATGCATGTCCTGATGTGACACAGTCCTGGCATTGACTCTGTTGACCATGATCAGTCTTGATTTCCGGGATGCAGCCTGGGACAAAGTCGTGTCAGGACAGCTGTTTAAAATGTGTGACTGTCCCAACAAATTTGGGACAGTTGGCAGCTATGACCCAAACGTTAGTTTCAATCACTGTAGTGTACTCATTGTATGAGTGCCTACTACAGTGATTTCCAGCTTCCATAGGGATCCCACTGGCTACCTACTTACATTGGTCCAAGCTGGCCCAATGTAACTATAAATATTGCATTACTTAGAATTTAGCTTTCACAGTTCACGATCTGGTCCACAATTAAAACTGAGTTCTATCAGTACAGAGGGCATAGTCTATTTGATTTTGAGGAGTGTTAAAGGCTGACTAAACCCAACCATAAAAAATGTTCTTAGATGTGGTTGCTCTTAGTGATAAACTAACTAAGCAAAGATTTTAAAAAAGCAAAAGCAAAAATCTGCAAACCCCAAACATAATACCAGAACCCTATTAGGGAAGGGGGGAGGGGGGGAATCTTGTAATTTTTTTTCCTGGTACTTTTTTTTTGCAAGTTTGCAAAATGTTAAGAAAGATGCTGTATGATCCAATGCAAAAATATATATATAATAAAATACCGTTTATTGGGGAGAAATTTAAAAAAAAATAAGACTTAAAGGGCAATATTAAAAATGTACAATTCCTTGAAATAATATGCTTTGAGTGATGCCTTAAACCTGCATTTGAGGTGTAGCACTTGTAGAATGTACTAAAGCAGGGGTGGGCAACTGTGGCCCTCCAGCTGTTGGTGAACTACAAGTCCCATCATGCCTCTGCCTTTGGGAGACATGCTTGTAACTGTCAGTTTTGCAAGGCCTCATGGGACTTGTAGTTCTACAACAGCTGGAGGGCCACAGTTGCCCACCCCTGTACTAAAGCAAAAGTGACATTTGGAAAGAAAAAATATTTTACTTGCTGCTAAATGACATTTTCCAGCTACTTTGTTCTGTTTGTGAACACAGGAATTCCCCTCAACATTCATATTAGAATAATATCCTAGATGAGGGTCTGGTGTGGTTTTTAAGGAGGAACCGCACACCAAAAACTAACAAAAAATCTGCATGTGCACCCCACAAAATCCTTACCAGATCTTTATCCATGCATACAGCTTGGCAGTAAAATAGAAGGATTAGACCCCAAGTCTGCTTACTATTGTCCTGATCCCTATTGCCTAGATCACAGTAGATTTCAGTAGAAAAGCAGAAACTTAAAGCGGAGCTCCACCCAAAAGGGGAAGTTCCACTTTAAGGACTGCTCCCCCGCTCCCCATTAAGGATTGGCACCTTTGGGGAGTGGAGGGGGAGCGGGTACTCGAATTTGACAGGTACCCGCTCCCACTTCCGGTCCGATCGCCTTGGTGATTGGAAGTGGAAGGTGTTCACCCTCCCTCCATGTAGTCTTTTGGGACATGTGACAGGTCCCAGAAGACTACAGGACCATTCATGAAGCGCAGCGCTACTCGCGCATGCGCAGTGGGTACCCGGCTGTGAAGCTGCAAGCTATCACAGCCGGGTGCCCACACTGAAGATGCCGGCCTCCTGGAATACAGGACGGCCGGTGAAATGGGCTGCAGAGGGGGCAACGCGGGATCGTGGGACAGGTAAGTGGCTGTTTTTTAAAAGTCACCAGCTACAGTTTTTGTAGCTGCTGACTTTTATTTTTTGACAGGTCGAGTGGAACTCCGCTTTAATCCCCAACACACACACATATTTATCAACAGATGAACTGCCCATTTTTAGCCATTTCTGGCCAGTGGCATCACTTGGTTCAAAGTATGTAAAATAATAAGTTTGATATAGAAAATCTAAATATCACTATCCTTGAATCTTGATTTCCCATTTGCTGCCTATTTTTAAAAGCATTCAAATGAAAATTTAGCTGACCTCCTCTAAAATGATTTTAATGTCTCTTTCAGAAAGTGTAAGATGTGCAAAGGTCCATATAATGGCCAGCTTAACATAAGCCCCCATTATTAGTTGTATGCTGCCGATACTAATTATAAGACAGTATCCAGCATTTTATTGTCACCTAGTTTCTACAGGAGTTTAGAAATACTTAATACAGTGTTCAACCTACTTTTAGGCTAGGTTCACATCTATGCAGATTGCAGTTGATGCATTTTCCGGATGCATTTTGTTTTTTTTTCAAACTTGTATTTGATGCTTTTTTTTGCATTTTTATGCATTTTGTATTTTGCGTTTTGTGCTTTGTGTAACTTTAGCCTATTGTTAAGGAGCGGGTGGCTGCCAGCCTCCTTCACAACCAGTAAAACAACATGGTCGTTAATGATCGGGCATTGTCCTTAACAACCTATGAGTCTTCAGCTGTCAGTGGGGTTCCCCGCTGGCAGCTGAATATAGAAAACCTATTGCCGACGATTAAAAATGTTTTAAAAATTGTGGAAATAACAGTGTGGGGTCCCCCCCCAGTCCTTACCAGACCCTTATCTGAGCATGCAGGTCAGAAAGGAATGGGGAGGAGTGAGCCCCCCCTCCACTCCTGAACCATACCAGGCCACATACCCTCAACATGGAGGGATTGCTTTGGGGCAGGGCAATGTTGATAAGGACAGGAGGCCCCCAGATTCCCCCCCCCCCCCTCCATGTGAATGAGCATGGGGTATATAGTACCCATACGCATTCACCAAAAATATGTAAAAAGTGAATAAAAACTTGACAGTTTTTGACCAGCCCTTTATTAAATAAGTAAAAAAGTCCCCCGAAGTAGATCCAATGTCAATCGCCACCTATAAAAAAGAGTTCCGCTCCCAACAAAGGCCCCACACTGTTTTTTTCCCATTTTTTTAATTGTCTTAATTTATTTAATAGATTTGTTTATATTCAGCTGTCAGCTGATGACTCATCAGTTGTTAAGGACACGGCGGCTTCCCTCACCATAACAACCATAATGTTTACTGATTGTTAAGGAAACCGGTGGCCATCTGCTCCTTTAACAACCAGCTTAAAGTCACACAAAACACAACACACACAATGCATAAAAAAAGCATAAAAAACACAATACTTGCGTTTTTGGTTCGGTTTCATTAAAGTCTATTAACACAAAATGTAATCTATACAAAATAGGTAAACAAAGTAAAAAAGTGAGCGCTAATCAGTTCAGCAGCTGTACACTCAAGGCAACCAGTAAAACCTCAATAAATAATATCAAAGAAATAGTGCAGCGCTTAAATCAATAGTCCTCAGTTATTCCCGATCAGTGGATGTTCCTCAATACGGAATGTAAGAAATGCCCACTCACCAGAACCACACTTGATACAGTGCAGTGTATAATAGTTATTCCCTGGTGTCACTGGAAGTGTACATCTGGTTCAGCCCTTGGAAGAGTATCCCTCTTTAGATCAGACAGGTCCAGGGTCACAGCAAATAAGGCTCCGACACAGAGTTCCCCTTAAGGGATTTGTGGGTGTTACTTTTGCAGCAAATAGAAACCTCCCACTCTGGATGGAATTGGAGTAACACAGCTTCTGAAAAAAAGGGGGTTCATTAATAAAGGGTGTTGCCTTCTTCACATATGCAGCAAAAAATATGCCGTCCTTTTAATCAGCAATCTATTTCCACATCATGGTTTCCTCGCTGCCCAGATTATGTAGTGTTTCCCCACTCCAGATTCTGCAATCTGCTTTGAAATTACCTTGTTTCTTGCACACTAAGCAGCCATGTGTTTCTTGTCGTATGTTACTTTTTTATTTCTATTTTTTTTTTTTTTGAGTAACATACGACAAACACATGGCTGCTTAGTGTGCAAGAAACAAGGTAATTTCAAAGCAGATTGCAGAATCTGGAGTGGGGAAACACTACATAATCTGGGCAGCGAGGAAACCATGATGTGGAAATAGATTGCTGATTAAAAGGACGGAATATTTTTTGCTGCATATGTGAAAAAAAAGTCCCTGACCGTTTCAAAAATCTGTACAGTTCAAAATGCATAGATATGAACTAGATCCATAGGAATTCATGTTAAATAAACTGTAGTGAGTTTCTGCAAACTAGAAAACGCACTGAAATTTGCATAACTGTGAACCGAGGGTTAGTTAAAGTGTTACTAAACCCAAGACCCTGCGTTCACTATATCTGGTCTCCCCGGACCCTGCGTTCACTATATCTGGTCTCCCCGGACCCTGCATTCACTATATCCGCTCTCCCCGGACCCTGCATTCACTATATCTGGTTTCCCGGACCCTGCATTCACTATATCCGCTCTCCCCGGACCCTGCATTCACTATATCCGGTCTCCCTGGACCTGCATTCACTATATCCGCTCTCCCCAGACACTGCATTCACTATATCCGCTCTCCCCGGACCCTGCATTCACTATATTTGGTCTCCCCGGACCCTGCATTCACTATATCCGCTCTCCCCGGACCCTGCATTCACTATATTTGGTCTCCCAGGACCCTGCATTCACTATATCTGGTCTCCTTGGACCCTGCATTCACTATATTTGGTCTCCCAGGACCCCGCATTCACTATATCTGGTCTCCCTGGACCCTGCATTCACTATATCCACTCTCCCTGGACCCTGCAATCACTATATCCGCTCTCCCCAGACCCTGCATTCACTATATCTGGTCTTCCCGGACCCTGCATTCACTATATCTGGTCTTCCCGGACCCTGCATTCACTATATCTGGTTTCCCCGGACCCTGCAATAACTATATCCGCTCTCCCCAGACCCTGCATTCACTATATCTGGTCTTCCCGGACCCTGCATTCACTATATCTGGTCTCCCCGGACCCTGCATTCACTATATCTGGTCTCCCCGGACCCTGCATTCACTATATCTGGTCTCCCCGGACCCTGCATTCACTATATCTGGTTTCCCCGGACCCTGCATTCACTATATCCGCTCTCCCTGGACCCTGCATTCACTATATCCGGTCTCCCGGGACCCTGCATTCACTATACCTGGTCTCCCCGAACCCTGCATTCACTATATCTAGTCTCCCCGGACCCTGCATTCACTATAGCTGGTCTCCCAGGACCCTGCAGTCACTATATCTGATATCCCCGGACCCTGCATTCACTATATCTGGTCTCCCGAACCCTGCATTCACTATATCTGGTCTCCCACAGTACACACAATGTGGAATTGAATTATTTTAGTAAATATAAACTGATAAATACCTTTTCTCATCAGCAATTAGAGCAGTCTTGGGACTTCTATCAGTACTCAGCCGAGCACAGGTTACAGCTTGTAGGAGGAGGTTTCAGTCTGCTCTAGGAGGATGCAAAACCCCTGACCACTGTCTGAACAGAGCTGATTGGCCCTGTGCTGATCACATGCACTCTCCCAAGAAAAAAAAACCCTCTGGCAGTACACACTAAACTGAGCATGTGCAAAATGCCTATGGTTTAGTCTATCTTATCAGGTGATAAGTGGTGGCTGCTTAAACAAGGGGAGGAACAAAGCAATCAGGATCAAACAGCCTTTTTACACAATGCAGAGGATTAACCCCTTAGGTTCCACAGTGAGTATAACAAGCATGCTTTATGGCATATACAAACTGATTTTGCTGTTGTGGGTTTGGTAACATTGTAATACACCAAGCTCCTCCTGATCTCCTCATTTTTTTTCGTTCAGCCCACTGGGTTTAACGAAAAAACAAAACTACCTGTGTGTACCAGGCTTAAGAGTATTTAGGTCTCCCATCCTCGGCCAGCCGTCTGCTGCTGTTCCCAACATACACGTTTGTTTATATTATTAGCAGTAGATATGTTGTATATAAGCCAACTTTCACTTCTATCTTTTATAATTGCATGCAATATGTACAGTATATTTACAAGATGTTTATTACAATGACTTATCAGCAGCATCCTTGTTTTCCAGCATTGGAATCTCAGGAGTCAGATATCGAAGTCTAATGCTTTCTCAGTGTTACTGCCACCATCCTGGTGTCCCCACACCATGGTCTTATCGTCCACCTCCACAAGATGAGTCAGATATGATGGATTTCTAGCAAGATCTTGGCATTCCCACTCCAGAGTCTCCCTACCCACCTCCTCAAATGATGTCTTATATAATGAGTTACCAACATCTTCCTGGTGTTCCCACAGAAGAGTCCTACCATCCACCTCCAGAAGATGAGTCAGATATTATCGATTTCTAGCATCATCTTGGTGTTCCCACACCAGAGTCTCACCATCCACCTCCTCAAATGATGTCTTATGAGTTACCAATATCATCTTGGTGTTCCCACACCAGAGTCTCACCATCCACCTCCTCAAATGATGTCTTATATAATGAGTTACCAATATCATCTTGGTGTTCCCATACTAGAGCCCTACCATCTATTCCACAAGATATGTATTATATAATGGATTAACAACATCATTATCACAAATGCTTACATGGAAAATATGGGGAAGAACCTTGATAATGAAAACCAATAGTATTACAGGACTCTCTTGTGCAATCTATGAAAAATTTGAATTGTTTTTCAAATAACTGGCAGATTGTGCTGCTGATATATTATCTAAATCAGTTCAGTTTTTTTTACATGTGGAAAAATCTCTCGGAGATGTTTATATGTCTGTATGGCTACGAGTTTATTATTATATGTAGTGATTGGAGGAGATGGAGAGCCAAAGAATTTGAAATTTAAAAAACCAAGAGGTCTTGGAAACATTTAGACGTTTAGGAAAACAATTAGCAGATTTGGAGAGGTGATACAAAATGCAAAAATGCAAAAATGTATCTGCAAAAACATGACACACAAACGGAACATTGACAAACAGAAGTCAGGAGAAGTGAAAGGCACAACAAACAGATAAAAGATGGAAAGTTCAACACAATAGGAAGCACTGGAGAAGCATCATATTTTAGAAGATTGGACCATCGAGTCATATAACATTTCCATGATGCTGGTAAATTGGCCAGACTAAAACATTTGCATTGATGTAAACATGGATTGTGGAGTGTAGGAGATTTTTGTCCATCATATTTTCCTGACCATGCCACTGCCAGTGAAGGATATTTTGCCACATACATTTATAAAGGAGTAAAGATATGCTACAATGTACACATATTAATGTACCAAAGATAACATACTATATTTTCACAGCGCTTATCAGCTTTATTGTAGATATACCATTTTAAAAAGATTTACATTAGGAAAATATCTCCTGATATTGTAAAGTTTGAATGTACCTTTGTTACTAATAGCACCTGAATAAAGTGAATGCTATTGTTACAATATGTGTGCATGTTATAGAATGAAAAGTTGTGTAAAAAAGTCCTCTTGCACCAGGACAATGCCCCAGTAGTTCTTTGTTACTTTGGCTGTTATCAATGCAGCAGGGTTTGAAAAAGTCCTTGTCCTTAATGAATGCTTCTTCCCATGATTGAAAGATCCTTTGGGAGTAAAGTGTATTGATAAAAGGGCCACAGATACTTTTGTGGAGCGGTTTGAGAGTCAGGTGGAGAGTTTTATTATTGATGGAGTCAAATGTTTCAACATCGAATGACAAAGTGTACTGAAGTTACATTAAGAGAAAATATGTTGAAAAATGAAAATGAAATGGTTCATGGTCCTGAGTTTTTCTTTCTATTTGAGCCTATAGACTTTTGGATTACCACTTGTATGCATGTATATATATTCAGTTTCTTGGTTAAAACTTCATGTCAATTTAGCTATGTAGCCAACAAAAGGACCACCAAGAAGAACCCCAGGTGGTCAAAGTATCTAAGACTTTGCTTTCCTGCTCTGTGCTTTGTTCAAAGTACTGTATAGTGTAATTTTTTTATGTTATCACTTTTATACTGTGTAATCATTCACTTTATAATACATAACCTGAATGTAATCAATAACAATTTCTTAACCTTAAAATCTTTTTTTTGTACTAAATATATTGAATTTTGCTGTGAGGTGGACTTTTAAAAATGGACACTTACCTGTCCTGCGATCCTGCAGTGTCCTCTCCTCAGCCCGTTTCACCAGCTGCCCTGTGTTCCCGGCGCAGGCATCTTCAGTGTGGGCACTCTGCTGTGACAGGTTGTGGCTTCACAGCTGGATGCTCATTGGGCATGCAGGAGTAGTGCTGCACTTTGTGAATAGTCCTGTAATCTTCTGTCACGTGTCCCAGAAGACTACAGAGAGGGAGGACAACTTCCCCTTCCAATCGCCTAGGAGATCGCAGCGGAAGTGGGAGCAGGCACTTGTCAATTTCGGGTACCCGCTCTCCAAAGGTGCCAATCCTAACAGGGAGCGGGAGACCAGTCCTTAAAGTGGAACTTCCCCTTGGGGAGAATTCCCTTCACTCATGTCCTATAGGCAGAACAGGTAGTAAATGGAAAACCCTCCAAAGTGAAGAAATCCCCTTACAGACAGTAATTACTGGAACAAATACCCCTGTTGAAAAAATTCCCCCAGCTTAAAATTATCTTTTCTGTCTTTCCAATGATGGTCACCAGGAGGGTGGATCCCCCCAGCAGGACTACAGAGAGAGATAAAAACCTGACAGAGGTTCTCATTCTTATCTACTTTTTCCATTAAAAAAAAATGTTTTTTGATACACTTTGAAATGGACTTCAATGCAAATGTTAACTGACAGATAAGTTAAAGGTTTTCCTGGCAAGTTAAAGCTGAACTCCAGGAATTCAGCTCTTTTGTAAAAAGTGAAGGTACACTATGGGTTAAGTCCAACGAGGTGCATAATACTTCCTAGACTTAGCTCTACTATTACATCTGGCAGGTTGATAGAACCCTTGGAAGACAGCCATGGCTTTAGTTGCAGGAGCCCAATGCTGGACGCTCTGGTCTCAGCTCCGTCAACGGTATAGGCTCTTCAGCTGCTATGCCCACCACTCCTCTCCTCCTGCCCAATCACAAAAGCCTTGATATTATATGAACTCATTCACAAAATACAAAGGCTTCTGTGAATGGACAGCAGAAGGGAGTATATTCAGCCATAAACTTGTCAGATGTAAAAAACAGAGATAAGTCCAGGAGTTGTCAAGCACCTGGTAGGACTTAAATCATAGTGCACCTTCAATTTTTACAAAAGTGCTTAATTCCTGAAATTCAGCTTTAATAATAGGGCTGAAATAGTTATATTTAGTGGAGAAAATGCTTCTGTTGTCTCTGATCAGTGCTGGTTGGGTGACCAAAGGACTATGCATTTGGACCCATATGCTTGAGTCTAGGGAAAGATCAGAGTTCATACTGGCTGATATTTCTCTTACGAGATAAAATGCAATCAGGTTTAGGATTTTGGTAATAAGAACAGCAATGTAGGGAACCTAAAGCAGCGATTTCTTCCTGAAAGGTAAATGTTTCAGACCCTTTTTACCTTGTATTCATTCTAGCAAAATCACATTTAAGTATAGGTTTGCTTTAGGGCCCAGTCACGTCTGCCTTGTCCTCTGAAGTTAGTTATTCATGTTAATGCACATTGTCTGATGCATTTACCTGCGCAGCGTTAGGGAAGCCCATTCATTTGAGTGAGCTGCCCATTGCTCCTCAATGGACCAAAAAATGTGCATGCAGCAGTTTTGGTAGCACACCGCTCGTAGTGTATTGCCACACATTGCACAGCATCGCATCGAGGCATGTAATCTGTAGACTCCATTCACCCATTGCGATTTGGAATCACCAACAAAATCACAGCAATTCTGCCGGACATTTGAAACTGCTGTAAAATGTGTGATGGGCGTTTGGGTGCCATCATTTTTAATGGCACTCCAAATGCAGTGTGATGTTGCCACGACTTTTAGTAGTATCTTCATGCACTATGCAGCCTGGTACCGTACGTTTGCAAAAAA